TATATTCTCTTCCAACTGGGGCATGTATATGCTGGCATATGTGGGAGCCACACTGGAACCCATCAAAGTCCCCCTCCTTTGAATTAAAAATTAATCTCTGAACAGGAAATAATTCTCAGTCATTACAAAAGTCAAAAGTTGTAATAAAAAAAGATAACGAAGGATCTTCAAAACCTAATCTCTTAAAATGCTATACTCATTGCTAAAATGCCTCCTTCGTGAGGAATAGAGGTATATGGTGTCAGGATTATTAATTGATCCAGCACGTAGGATTGTGTCACACTGAGGACTAATAGGTAACGTATTACCGGGCCTCAGAATGGCCTTAACGCACCAAAGAATAGTCAGTATACTTGTCGAGGTCAGGGGACACAGAATGAGACACAACAATAAGGGAAAGCCAGAAGTCAGGTATACCAGAATACTGGGAAGTCAAACAAAACCAAAGTAAAAAACAGAATATAAACGCTCAGGAACACACTCTCGGACAACCACTGGGGAAACCATGACAGAGCAATGAGGAAATTTGAGCCTAAATAAGTGCTTTACAATTCTGATTGGCCGGAAACGGACTTTGACTCAAAAACGTGTGCGCACCTCTCCTACGTGAAGTCACGCGTACGCCAACGTCATCATTAACGATGGACGGGGGATATAAATTAGGCGTGGATCCACAGCAACTGGCATCCATTAACACGCTGCAAGAGTTAGCCATATAGATGCACGGCCGCTGGGCGCAAATACCGCAAGGTGAGGAGGTATATGTTACATTTAGACTATTTACATCGAATGTAACCAGAATATTCTGTACATTTTCTATTTCCTCTAATTTTTGCTAAACTTCTGTGGTGTCTCTGACATACGATTTAATCTCAGACAAATATGGTCTGACAAGTTGGTCCAACAATCTTGCTAATGGTGATAGCAGGGAACCAATGCCAGCCACTAAGGACCTACCTGATGGATCAATCAAAGATTTATGTATTTTAGGCAATACATATAAAACAAGAACTACAGGAGAGTTGACTGTAAGGTATTTAAATAGATCTTTATCTATGATCCTATTCTCTAATGCTTTTTTCAGGATCATGTCAATTTTGTTTTTTAACCCCAATGTAGGGTCCATTTGTACTTTCCTGTATGTATCATTTTCATTAAGTTGTCTCTCTATTTCTTTAATATAGTTCACTCTATCCATTACCGCTTTATGGCGTTGTACTGCGCATGTGTGGACGTCTGTATGGATGCGCACATTTGGCGGTATCAATCTCTAACGGTTAGTAGTTATTACTGTTTAAACTTGTTTTTTATATTCTCCCATTGGTGTTGGTCATTTGCAACAGCTGTCACTGCCTTCCTTATTATACACTTTTTAACTAGACATTTGTCTAATATGGTTTGATTAAGTGAATTGTTGTGCCTATATATTTGCTGTGAGATTTGTATTTAATAGTTTGACAAAGACCGCAAGGTCGAAACGTTGCTGGGGGTTCTAATAAAATTGCCTGTTCTGAACCTTGGAGTGCCTGAACCATTTTTGTATTGTACACCATAGCCATTGAAACCTGGTGCTTGGTTCTGTTTTTGTTGCACTCTGGCTCAGATTGATGGAATTGAGTGCAGTTCCTTATGTATCTTATAATGGGTACCCTTTTGCATCACGGAACGTGGACAGGTCTGACAGCAACCGTGGCAGTTTACAGGCTTTGTTACAGGGATGGCAGGGTGGACCCGAATAGTACCCAAATGAAGAGTCTTTGGCCGAGTTGGGCAGAGGGAGATAAAGTGCCCTCTTTCTCCACAATAGAAACAAAGGCAAAAGCCTCTCCTTCGGTCTCTTTCTTCAGAAGACAACCTAGTGCCCATCTCCATGGGTTCCTCCTTGTCCTCTGGAGTTTCAAGGCTTACTTGGGTAAAATCAGGGTGACAAGGTAGGTCCCTGAAGGTAGGCTTGCGCTGTAATAATATGGAGTCATTGTACCTGTGTAGATTTTTCTTTTCTCTAGGTACCAGAGATCCACGGGAACCTAAAGCAGATTTGGGAGTAGCTTTCTTGGAAGTAAAGCCAAGTCTATCTCGGTCATGAAGGACTTCCAGTTGTCCAAGACAGCACCTCTATCTTGAAGCATCTGGTACACCTTAATCTGTCCGGAAAGCAAAGTAATAGCGGTGCGGACCCTAACAAAGTCGGTTGTGTAGGTCCTGGGCTTTAAGGCAAACAGGTTTTCACAATCCATTTTAAATGATGTGAAGGAGGAACGGGAACCATCGAATCTGTCAGGCATTAACACATAAGGCTCTGGATACACAGGTTCCAGGGTTGGGCGTACCGTACCTTTAAATGCCAGAAAATCCCTCTCCAGAACAGTCTGGGACAGGTTGGACACTTGCTGAGCAAGGGAGGTAAGCAGCTTGTACATCTCTGCGGACTCCATAGTTGTTATATCATTATGTGAGGATCTTACCTGGAGGTGGGAGTCCGAAGTGGAGAATTAAAGTACACCCTTACAGTTTAACCCAAACCGAGGAGACTCAAGGAAAAAATCTCTGAGGTTGTGAAACAATGCACTGGGGTTTGGCAGGACAAATTCTCCTGGATACACAGAACAGACAAGGGAAATCCAATAGAGATATGGTTCCAATGGTCAGGGCAGGCGACAATCAGGCAAATACAATAAACAGTTCTGAAGGTCAAAGCAGGAGATGAACTAAATAGGTTCCAAGACAGGAACAAAACGATCTGAGAAGGAGGAAGTGGCAAGGCAGGACTTATAAAGGTAGCTAATTGGCTACTAAATCAGGATCCACAAGCAGGTGTGAAGCAGTCCAGGCTTAGAGAGGCAGATACCATGGCAATAGAAATGAACTAGAATGAACCTGAGAAGTGGCGACTAGGTAAGTTCATTGATTTGGATGTAGAAGAAGCAGTTTTCAATCCCAGCCAGTGATGTCCACACCTGGCAGTCTGCTTGGCATGGTATGAATAGTGACACAGAGCATGTGTAGTGGGTTGGGTCTGCAATGCTTCTCTGTGGAAATGATTGGATTGGGCAGAGATTTTCATACTTAGGGTGGGAGAAGTAGCTGCAGAAAGAAGAATGAAAAACATGTTTTTTAGGAATTTTGGTGGTGGTAGTTATTTTTCTTTTTTTACTTTTTAGTAAAATAAAGGGGAACCCTGATTGTAAGGATAGTATGGATAGGATAGTATTCACTGAGGGCTTAGTGTTTTGTTTTGATGACAGTTGCAGGAGAGGAAAATTTCACAGGTTTCCTCCACTGGGAGTTTTTCCTGTCCTGAGTCCTGATGTGTGTACTAAATGTTTTACAAATAAAGCATATATCACTTTATATATCTATATATTTATATATATTTACAAGCCATGTTTATACTATTTTATATATACTGCTAAAAATGTTAAATAACATTGTCTATAAAACTTGTTTAAATCATGTTATAATCTATCTAATAAAAGATTTGCATTGAAATATTACTTTTGTAAAGTAATATAAGTAAAGTTCATAAATAAAAAGCAGGTGGTCTTAATTGATTATAAAACTACAAAATGTAAAATACATATCAAAATCTATAAAATAAGTTTTTATTATTATATTCAATAATGGTAACCATCGGCTGAAAATTACATCAGCCGTCACTGTCTTGTACAAACAGAGAAAACATTAACAGATCACATAAAAACACATCTACATGTTTGCATTGCTTATCCTTTTTATTATCAAGTTCTGAATTGGCAGTATTCATGGCAAGTCCAAGGAAATTTTCATAAATTTTTTGTATTCTTTAGAATTTGCATGGATGCTTCTGAATTGATGTGAATGTGCTCCAAACTGGAGTCTATTCGAATTATTCAAAAGTGGTACAGAGGGAGGTGTGATTTCAGCAGCAAAGGGAATGGAAGTATAATCTGCCTCTGCACTTGATACCAATAGCTGCATAATTAGCGTACACTGTAGGGTTATTTATAGGGCCAAAGTTTTAAAATAATAAGTTAGGAATATTCTTTAAAATGCAATAATTTTAGAATACAAAAAAAATTTATATTATTGTGCTGTAACATTAATGTGAATATTCTCCAATTGTAATGATATATATATTTGTAAACAAGGAGTGCCTATCTTTATTCTTCAGACCCTAAAATTCACTGTTAAAAGGTAATTTATGATTCACCAATAAATATCAAAACAGGTTACCAATAATTGTATATTTATTCTGACATGAAAATAATGATCATGCATGAGACCAATGCAATGCAAACATAATGGAAAATGGCAATACTGCAAATTATAATTTTTTTTAAAAAGTTCTTTATTTTTACATGACAGGAACAGTGGCATAATAGTCATATTTCGGCTTGCGCAGAAGCCCATATGCATCATTGTATTGGATAACAATTCTAACCATGAGACTTTGCGTATGCATTTAAATTCTCTGCGGTCAGATTTCACCTTCCGTCAAGATTTTTATATTATAGAAGCAAGATTCTATTGTATGTGCCTCTGATGCATAGTTTTGCACCGCAAGTATGTTATCTTGCCCTCGGGTGCAGATCTATCAGGTTGTTGATCCAACTGTACCCCTCTGCGCTCCCCGGGCCTGCCTAAATCTGATGTATGTGTTGCGTGCTTATCGGCACTCTATCATACACTTGCCCCTATAAAAGGGTCAAGAGAGTGTAGGAAAAGAAAGAATAGAAAAGGAGAGAGAGAAGAATCCGTAGGCGGGCAAGGGCTTGGGCGCGAGAAATCGAGGGGCAGGAGGGGAGGGAGCAGAGCGCACTCCTCGAGAGGGAATCGCCTATGGGTCCATCAGGGCCCACCTCCTAGGCTGCTGTGTCCACCTCCGTCTGTTCTGTCTAGGCGACCCCAAACCCCCTCAGTTGCCCCACGGGGATTCATCCCATGGCTCCCATACCCTTTGGAAGGTCTTGGTGGTGTCCCTGACCCTGTCTTTTATCCTACCTATCACACTCGTTATTTGTGGTAGGTCCTGCTGTGACCATTTAAAGGCCATTGCGTGTCGTGCGGCTAGAGTGATCTTGTGTAGCAGCATTAGTTCCCTTCGAGTCCATCCCTCCACCGACCTGTTTAGGAGATATACCCATGGTTCCAACGTGGGCGCCCTAGAGAACACCTGTCACACCAGGCTGTGTACTGCTGACCAAAACGGGGTCGTGCTGGGGCACTCCCACCACATGTGGAGATACGTTCCCCTGGCCCCGCACCCCCTCCAGCATAAGTCTGAAGTAGTTTTGCGCATTTTGTACAATGTCACTGAAGTCATGTACCAGCGAAACATTGTCTTAAAGGCTTGTTCCTGGTGAGTTACACAGAGCGATGATGTATTGTTCTCCTCCCATATCTCCTACCATTCTACTCCCTCTAGCTCCTCTCCCAAATCCTTCTCCCACTTCTCTGTGTAGGTCAGGCCCCCCCCATTCTCCCCAGTCTCCGTACAGAAATGTGTACAGAGTATTGATATCAGTCCTCTGGGTATGTTTTCTGAGGTGCATATGCGTTCGAAAAAAGTTAGTGTATGTTTTGCTGCGTCCTTAATGTGGGGTTGGGCGACGAAGTCCCTAATCTGTAGGTAGCGGAAAAAGTAAGGTTGATGTTTCGGCGGGTGTTTTCAAATATTTGTCTCCCTGGGGCAATACTGCAAATTAATCAATTAGGTTAAACCAACCAATACGAAATTTCTATATTAATCACTTAATGAAATATTGCAATGCAGTAATTAAACCAGTTCAGTCAATCAGTCAATATGCAGTTTATAATAACCACCTCGGTTTATCATAGAGTTCATTATTCAGCAAAATACAAGCACATCTAGCAACTATTCCATCGTACACTTGAAAACTGATTATCAGTAATAGGCAAACATCAGTATTTGGCATTTATGCAATCATACAATTATTGGAAATTGATTAACCGCAATCTGTCAATATTTGACAAACATCCTTTCAACCAGCAATGAACTTTTTATTTCTTACCAGTAACCAATCAAACCATCAGCAACATAAATTTACCAACTGACACTTAACTGAGAAACCTGGCAATGTTATAATTAATGGTAATATAACACCTTATTTCTCTTGCCTCGGCCATACCTTGAGAACTAAACCTCAACAATTGATTTATCCTTGTCTGTCTGTAAGTTAAGCTACAGATGATTTTGACATTTAGTTATGGAAAGATCTGAGTATTCAATTAATTATATCATTAATTGATGGCAAATGTTTGCCTGCTCTACCATATATAAAATTTTTCTGCAGAACAAACAAAATATATAGTATCCAAATTTGGTTCTAAAGTATTACAGTCAGGGCTGGACTGCCCCACTGGGATACCAGTAAGTTTCACGGTGGTCCGCAGCACTTGGCCGGGCAGGCAGCCCTAATATAATTTAAATAATTTCCCAATCAGAGGAATTTAAAGAGAGAGGTGCTGGTGAGGCTGTAGGCATTGAGACTGCCAGCGGCCAAAGGGAGCAATGTGGGGAGGGAAATTTATGTGCCTCTCTTGCTCTGCTCTTTACACAAACTCCTTTCCTGCTCTCAAGCCCTTGCCTCTAAACTCAAGCTCTGCCCCCAGCCATAAGCAACTGACCTTGTTGGCAGGAAGAGGCCAGGGAATGTAGTCTTCACCTCCCAGGGCTTCCATAGCCTTCAGTGCCAGGTAGGCTTTAAATACACTGCAGCTAGTGAGTGAGAATGATCGTGTGGGTGTGTGGGTCTGCTAGTTATTGAGCTTGTATGTGTGTCAGTGAGCTTTTCTGTGGTGAGCATGTTTATGTAAGTGAGCTTGTAGTGAGCATGTGTGTCAGTGAGCTTGTTATTAGTGAGCTTGCATGTGTGTGCCAGTGAGCTTGACTGCAATGAGTATGTGTGTGTGTCAGTGAGTGTCAGTAAGATTCTTTCTTAAAAGGTGTGGAGCTGGACAATAGTGGCTTTGTAAGAGGTCTTCCTGGAGCTACTGCTCACAGAGACAGGACACGTATTTGTAATATTGTGAAGCAAGCAAAACATGAAGGGGAATTGGATGTACTTGTCCACCTAGGGACAAAATATTTGGCTTGTAATGAGGTTTCTGAGGCAAAGCAAGTGTTTTGTGTTCTTGCCAATGATATACAGCAGGTTGTGTCCACACTGTCATTATCTGAAGTTCTGCCTGTGCATAACACTCAGAACGACAGGCGGCTGCATATTAGGGACTTTAACTTGTGATTTGGTGAATGGTGTCAGGGGCAATGATTTGGCTTCATTTCTCATGGTAGCTCTGTTTGGAATGGAAATAAACTATAAAAAAGATGGTTTGTATCTTTCTCAAAAGGGAACAAATGTCCTCAGTGAGCAGTTCATAGGTTTTGCTAGGAGGTATTTAAACTAGGAGGTGCAACTAGATGTCTACAAATGCTTGCAGTTTAGGGAATAAGATCTATGAACTTGTGACAATAATGGCAACTGATAATGTAGATTTAGTCGCTGTTACTGAGACATGGTATAATGAGAAAAATGACTGGGACATGGCAATACCAGGGTACTCTTTATATAGAAAAGACAGGGAAGGCAAGAAAGGGGGAGGGGTGGACCTGTATGTGAAGGATAGCATAAAATCTAATACAAAAGTTTTAGACTTTAGAAAAACAGACTTTTCCAAAATTAGAATATGTGTAAAAGAGTCATTATCAGACTGGAGCAGTTTAAATCGAGTCCAAGAGAAATGGGATTACTTAAAAGTTGCCCTGCTGAGAACAACAGAAAATTGCATTAGGCTTGTCAGTAAAAGCAAAAAATTTAAGAAACCACTATGGTACTCCACACATGTAGCCAAAATAGTAAAAAACAAAATGTATAAAGTATATAAAAAAAAAACAGAGTGAGGAAGATAGACAGATCTATAACATTAGGCAGAAAGAGGCTAAGCAAGTTATAAGAGCTTCCAAATCACACACAGAAGAGAAAATAGTACAGTCAGTAAAAAAAAGGGGACACAACATTCAGATACATAAATGAGAAAAGGAAAGTAAAACCAGGATTAGTTAGATTAAAAACAAAAGAAGGAAGGTATGTAGAAGAGGATAAAGGTGAGGCCGGGGTGGACTGACAGAGTCCTGGCTGCCCCGGGCAAAATTAGGACCTGGGCCCCCTGCAGATATATATATATTTCCCACAGAAATCACAAATCTGCAGTGATGTTACTACCGCAAAGGAGTCTGGGTGGGCAAAAGCAAGTATTATGCATTGACTGGTGTGCAGATGTTTGTTTAATATTGTATTAACTATCCACAGACTTCAGGTGGAAGGGGTTTTCTGTAACCGCAGCTCGTTACCTTATTTATCACTATAACGTCTTACAGCATAGAAATTGTCAGAGCTAACCATACAGATATCTTAGCCATAATTTTATATAGTCAGTAAGAGATCCTGTATTTAAAATATATAAATAATTGAGAATACAATATAAAATAAGGATTATCTTGGAAGCAATGAAGTTTTGTCTTTTAGCTATTTATTCTATAAATATAGACATATAAAATCCATTATAATAATTGATAGCAGAGTTTATAAGATTAAACTAAATGCTTGCAAATATCAATAATAGATTAACATACCCTCCTGAACATGTCATCATATCAGCCTCTCTGTCATTTTAAGATGGAGCAGCGTCTCCTCTCTCTGTGCCTTAACATTTAAAAGTACACCTATTTATAACTTAGGTGTCTTCATTTTAGGGTTACCATAGTTCACATATGGAAAAGTAACTTCTTTTACTTTTATTCATTTTAGAACCTCCCTTAACTTGGCAAAAATACATGGCCATAACGAAGGGGTGTACACATCATGGAAAATTCCCTGACTTAGGTCAAGATGGCATCCTAAAGTCTGAACATCTTTATCTATTTAGGGCTACCGCAGTATATTATGTACTGAAAGAGTTGTAGCATAGCCTTGAAGCTTGTTTATGCATTATTGTTATTGTATTTTGTCTGGGACAAAATGGCGTAAACATATTATGCACTGAAGGTAAGTAAGAGGTTATTGCTTAAAGAAACATGTATGAAAAACAATATGTTCCATTTCTAACAGTTTGCAATATCTCTTAAAGACAAAGTACACAGTTTGAGAAATACAGTATTTGTATTTGCCCATAACACCCTTTCCATTAAACTGTGGGCATTGTAGAGCATTTCTTCCTTATATGAGTAAACCAAAGTTCTCCGACAGTCTTTAGGTTTTTATGCTCCCAGCGTCTTTGATCATTATTGTAACGGTAAAACATCCGTAGTGTGATACTGGCATGTAAAGGTAGTTGATTAAAATGAGCAAAGCCTTTGTCTGGGAAAGAACTGAAATCAACATCACATTCCAGAGTAAGATATTCTTGGATGGTTCCTGATAGGAATTGTAATCCAAAGTTAAAAGTAGTAACTGTATTTGTAATCCAAAGTCTTTAAAGGCCTGTAGAAGTTTACATTCCCTAGATACATTACTGGAGGTTGTGTTTGTAGAATACCCGGGTATTTGTTGTAGAGTATTGGTTGTAGAGTCCCACCTTATTTGATTGCAAATTCCTGTCCTATTGTGTTTTTCACCTCACCTCCTATAGAATGTAAGCTTGTTTGAGCAGGGTCCTCTTCAACCTACCGTTCCTGTAAGTTTTCTTGTAATTGTCCTATTTATCGTTAAATCCCCCCTCTCATAATATTGTAAAGCGCTACGGAATCTGTTGGCGCTATATAAATAGCAATAATAATAATAATAATAGAAACATAGAATGTGACGGCAGATAAGAACCATTCGGCCCATCTAGTCTGCCCAATTTTCTAAATACTTTCATTAGTCCCTGGCCTTATCTTATAGTTAGGATAGCCTTATAACTATCCCACGCATGCTTAAACTCCTTTACTGTGTTAACCTCTACCACTTCAGCTGGAAGGCTATTCCATGAATCCACTACCCTCTCAGTAAAGTAATACTTCCTGATATTATTTTTAAACCTTTGTCCCTCTAATTTAAGACTATGTCCTCTTGTTGTGGTAGTTTTTCTTCTTTTAAATATAGTCTCCTCCTTTACTGTGTTGATTCCCTTTATGTATTTAAATGTTTCTATCATATCCCCCCTGTCTCGTCTTTCCTCCAAGCTATACATGTTAAGATCCTTTAACCTTTCCTGGTAAGTTTTATCCCGCAATCCATGAACCAGTTTAGTAGCCCTTCTCTGAACCCTCTCTAAGGTATCAATATCCTTCTGAAGATATGGTCTCCAGTACTGTGTACAATACTCCAAGTGAGGTCTCACCAGTGTTCTGTACAATGG